TCAGCAGGGAATTGGGAGGAATTGGTGGGAATTATTGCTACTGAAGACTTTCATGGTGAATATACTTATCTCTAAGGGATGCCTGAAGATCATGATTGCAGCCCACATGGGCTGTTTGGAATTCAGTACTGTGGTAAAGACTACTGATGTAGTAGCCTAAATTTGTACCCTGTAATTGTTCTCATCCCTCCCTGCCTTTCCCAGTGGCAGGAATATAGCAATGGTAGCAGCTTCATTTGGAAAAATAATGGAAGCTGCCAAAACACCGAAGACGAAAAGAGATTGGGAGTACAAGCTTCTAGCTGTAAACACTGAGATGGTTCCACCTTCCTGCAAAAGTACCAGAGGATGTGAAAAAGCGAAAGATTAGCATAGTGCAAGAAGCAAGTGAGCTTTTGCATTGTAAACCTACCTCATTGCCTATGCAGCTAATTTCTAGAAATAAAATCTCTGTGGGGAGAGCAGAAGCCTTTCTGCTTTAAAGGAAAGGACTGGTGGGAGGTAGTAGCGTGGAACATCTCCTAACTGATAAGAAGAAACTCTGTAATACTTGCCTCTACGTGTCACCCTGGTAAAACAAAAAAAATCTGACTACTAGTAGAGCACTTGCTTGCAAGGGCAATTGACTGATTTTTCTTGCAACTCACTTGTATGCTTATTTGATTTGCTAGGCTGACCTGGCTTTGCCTTTCCTGTTCCCTAACAGGTCATGAGGTGGTTTTGGACTGTGGTCTCCAGTTTCACACAGGAAGAGCTGGCCAGGCTCTTGCAGTTCACAACTGGTTCCTCCCAGCTGCCCCCAGGAGGGTTTGCTGCACTCTGTCCATCTTTCCAGATCATTGCGGCTCCAACTCACAGTACTTTGCCGACAGCCCACACTTGGCAAGTATCCTGGGGTGGTAAGACTTTCTGCATTGTGCTTTTGGGAATGACACCAGCTAGCTGTGGTGGGCAAGCAGTGTATAACATGTAATGTGTGTGGCGCTCATGTCAACTCATCTAAAAGCAGCTGATGGGGATGGTCCCCTCTCAGATCTAGTCTGAATGGAATTTTTCTTTTGTTTTACAGTTTCAACCAGCTGTGCCTCCCTACTTATGACTCCTATGAAGAAGTGCACAAGATGTTGCAGCTAGCTATCAGCGAGGGTTGTGAGGGCTTTGGCATGCTGTGATTTCCCCTTTTCAGGAGACTACTTAGCCTCCTGGCTCTTTGTGGCAAGACCCAGGTTCAATCCTCTGCTTGTTCTCCTTTCCTTCACATGGGCAATGGAGGCAGAGCAAAGACTCCATGTAAAGGAATTTGTCATCCAGAAGATGTCACGTGGCCTTTCCGTATCCCAAATATGTCATCGAGAGCTCATCTTTTCCCTTTTCCTCATTCTCCCTTTGGTTCAATGTGAAACAGCAAAAGGACTGTGGTGCATTCATCAAGGAGATGTTGCACTTGATTTCCCTGCACGCTGTACACCCATCCTTCTGTGAGAAGATGAAGTTCATAAGCAGAAGTTACAGTGAGGTGCAGGAGATCTGCTGAGCTGCTGTTATCGTAGCTCTCTGGGAGGAACAGGGAAGACCAGCATGGAGCTCTGCTGGAAACCTGGCTCACGGGAAGCCTTAGTAACTTTCCAGGTCTTGGCTCAAACTCCTCCAAATGATGCTCCCCGATAGCTCATCTACCCCTATGACTCATGAAGAGTATAGGGTTGTCCATCCTTTCATCACCTGACCCAGAAGGGTTTCTGATTCTCCTTTTCCATCTTGCTCTGGATGCTGCTGTTGCCTGTATCACAGAGAAAAATGGGCAGTATCCATGGGAGGGAGTAATCCAGTGGGGAGAACAATCTTATCGGAGCACAAGTGCTGGCCCTGACAGTGATCCTGTACTACCTCCGCCAGGGTCCAGCAGCAGAAGCGTCCTTCTCCAGCAGTGGCTGGTAATGAGCCTCTGCAAAATGAACTGGAAGAGGAGTTTCTCCTCCATTGAATGTTTCTGACAGTTGATGTTGCACAGGAAGCTGTCCCACGCCCTTGCCTTCTTTTCCCTTCCTCAGGAGAGAAAGTATGGGCATGAGTGTGATCCCTTAATGCTGAGCACCAATGTCTATCCCACGTTCACCTTCAGGGTATGTATGTTATGTAGTAACAGTGACAAGTCAGTAAGCAGCTACAGTGTGCTTGCGTTTGTTGTTGGGGTGATGGTACTGGGCAGAACGTGGTAGCTCCACCCCGGCATCCCACAGGGTCTTGGCTTCTACCTCTATCATGCAGCAGCCTGAGGCTTCTCTTTCTCTACTGCATTTCAGGCAGAGTTTTCAGAGGGGTGCTGGTGCCTGGAGAGCAGCTGGCTTTCTGTCCTCCCAATCTTCCTACCTTCTTTTTTCAGCTCTCCTTTCCTCCCGTTCCATTCAGTGCTGCTGGCTTTCCAGCACTAAGTATTAACTAGAACTTTGCTCAACAGCCTGCACTCACCATGGTCTGACTTGTGGGGAGAGAAGTGGGCAGACCAGCATGAGAAGTAAGCTTATGATTGGGGTATGTTGTTCCTGGCAGTCCATTCAGCCCTTCCCAGGGAAATAAAGCAAAGGGGAACCTGGGAATCTTGATGAGTTCTTCAGTTAATTAAATTAAAGACCTTTAAGTTCTCAACAATCCCTTAGACAGTTCAGGTCAGGAGTGAAAGGCACGCAGGAGTCGAGGTGTGAGAAACCTGCATTGCTACTGTCTGTGGTGTAAGCTTTCACTGTATTATGGAAATGCTGGAGTCTCAGACTGGCATCCCTGAGCTAATTTTAGAACACTGTATTAGATAAAAAGTCACATCGTCCTCTTCAGCCCTGTTCTGCTGTCCTCAAGCTGATCAGGTCAGACTTCTGCACAGTATGGATATTTTAAGGTAAAGGTGTGTGCTTTTCCCTTATAGCTTAGTTGAATTGACTGGGAATTTGGGGAAAACATTCTATTTCTAGAAAATGTTTTCAAGGCAGCATCTTAGCCATTCTTGGGCTGAGTGTGTTACTTCTGTACAGAAAAAAATAAGCCATTTTGGTGCCAAAAAGCAGCCAGCTGAGCATTGAGACTACTCAGGGGGATTTCTTTGCCTTGTGAATTCATTCCCTTCCTGGCACTGAGAGGCTGCCAGCTTGAGAGTTGCCACTTGCGCTCTGACAGATCAATTTAGTAGTGGCTGTTCTCCCTTTTTTAGTACGGGCTCTGTTCTGCAAGGTCCTGACCTCCTTTGGGTGGAGAGTATGGTACCATTTTATTTACACTGCTGGTGGCTTCTATGGTCAGTAGAGTTACAGCTCCTGTGTTCTCCGTGCCACCACTTCACTGCTTTCTCCAGGGACCGAGAGGAGGTGGCGGTGCTCGGCTTAACTCCTGTTTTTTGGGAGGTGTAGCTTGGTGCTGTTCCCACGTTGCAGCCTTGTCTTGCATCTCACCTGGTGAGGATGTTTCCAGCCTTGTAGCTATGGGCCAACTCTGCCAGTGACATCTTCCTCAGGAATCTTCTCCCTTCTTCTCTTGAGCTGGACTTTTTTATTCTGAGGACAAAGTAGTTGGACATTGGGCAGTCTTCCTCTGCTGGAAAGAGCTCCTACATGCTTCTCATTGCATTGCAGCCAGCACCCCATGCTTCCCAGCAGCTGTGCAGATGCCAAGGACTTTCTTCTTAACACAAGTGCAGTCAGAACTGTGATGGGTGCTCTTAGTCAACTAAACCTATCCCCATTGTTTCCACAGGCCCCTGGCTGGTCCCATGTTTGAGATCCATCACAATGTTTCTAAACTTGTCTCTAGCTTTATACCTTTTCCCAGTGCAGTCACTTTTTATGCTGCCCTTAACACTGGCAATGGGGATGTGCTTTGGTCACCTCTACTGTATGTTACTTCTGGCAGAGGCTCGTTACTTTTCTTTTTACCCTTTATTTATTCCCACTTAATAGAGGCCCTTCTGTAGAAATCTTTAGGATCCTGGTATCATCTCAAGACAGGTTCCGTGTTTCCTGAAGCTGCTTTGAGGTGCAGAGGGCCTCGCTTCACCCTGTACCTGCAGGCCATGTTGCATGTTTTTAGAAACCAGGAGCTGTGGATGATACAGGTGAAATCCTTGTTCCCTCTGATGAATTTCTGGCAGAGTTCAGCCAAAATTTGGAAGCCTGTGGTTGTAGTAGCTGATTTTGTAAATAGTTTGTATAATAAATAAAATATTTTAAAAATGCTGCTTTCTCAGCTTAGCCTTCTTTTGGGGCTGTACAGAGAGAATCGAACTGGTTAGTGCTGTCCATGGGCGAGGGGTGTCTTGTGGAGGTCTGCTGCAAAGGGGGTGAGGTCGGTTCTCCACCTGCAGCCTTTCAGGGTGCCTGACTGAACCCAGGACCTGTGAGCTTCTGGGAAAAGGCAGGACTCTGGGCTTGGGGCTCAAAGGCTACTGAGGTCTCTCTGTAGGAGGCTGGAATATGGGCTGAAGCAGCTGGTAATGCCAAAAAGTATTTTAAGGACTCTTACGTAAATTAATAATGCAGTTGGTGCAGTTACTTTTTCATCTCACTGTGTATTAACTGACTCTGAGATGCAGGTATTTGTACCACTTGTGCTTCACTGTACTGTCAAGTGGGTTAGATGAAGCCAGGAGAAGAGGGGGCGTTTTGAGTCCTTGGCATCTTTTTAAGTTGTACAAAATGCTTTCAGACTGCAGGGTGGAAACAATGTACCTGCAAGTGTCTGCTAATGAGCAATGGAGTAATTAGTAAGCTGACAGCTTGTTGCCTTCAGGGACAATATCCAATTTCTGTGATTCTCTGAGTTTGAGCTGTTCCCCAGCTCTGATGAAAAGCATTCAATTTATCACTGGTTTTCCTTGTACTTTTTTTTTTTTTTTGTAGCTTAAGGATTAAAGTCGTAACTTTAAAACTTGAGAAGATTCTGCAACGTGATTCTGTGTCCATTAGCACTGCTGTCTGTAAAATGATGAAAACACATTCCTGGCCTGTACGAAGATTGAGCCCATCTTCAGCCAGCATAGCATTAGCTGGCTGTGTGTGTTGCACCATAAAACCAGGCAGATGTTCTCACATATTATGAAACGAGCATCCAGCCTTGATTCTGGCTTTCAAGCCATGAGCACTAGCTAAAGAAAAGAGTGAGCAGTGGATGTGAGTCTCAGGGATTGCCTCTGTAGCATTGTGCTGGGTCATGGTGTTACTTAGAAGCGCCTTGTTGGGAACACAGTTGTCTTGTGCTGGCTTCAGAGAAGATAGAGGTTAGGTAGAGCAGCAGAGAATGTTATGAAGAATCCCGAAACTGAAGCTGCAGTGTCCCCTGGGAATTGCAGAGGTTGTGAGTCTAGAGCTGCTGGAGTTGGGGGTCAGGGCACGAAAAGGTGGGTGACTTTGTCTGCAAACCTGGCAAAATGATACACGGCAAACCGTGTGGACCTGTCTTTACATGCCATGACTGGTATTACTCAGGGGAAGAGGGCCACGTTGAGGCTGGAGTTTTCAGAAACACTGTCTCGTTTGGGTGTGAAGGAGAGAGCTCAGCTTGCTGGATTACTTCAGCATGAAGTAGGTTCTAAAGTTTCTGCCTCTCTTTGCAGGATGTGTGGTATCATCTGGCTGCCCCCATTGCCTGCCCTGATCACCAGCTTCTTGTGATGTCTTGGAGAGGGAGTGGTGACAGTGACTTGTTGCTGACTCCACAGCTTCCTTTTATCCTGGCATGGACTTGGGGCTGGGAGAGGAGTCATGCCCACGCCCTTCATGCTGGAATCCTACATGCCCTGACTTGTGTCTCCAGCAATAGCAAGGAGTTGCCTGGTGTCTTAGGATCTGTGATTCCATACGCTGAGATGTGTCAAGACGTACTGCTTGGGAAACTGGATTTCTGTGCATTTGGTTCCTCTGCTTAGCTTTCTATTTGCCTTAATTGTAGAACTACGGAGGAGGAATTTCTTCAGATAACTGAATGAGAAAATGAGGAAACGATGCTTGATTTGGATAAGATTTCTTCATGCTTTCATAGTGTTATGGCTCAGTTGGTGAGTTGGACCAACTGGTTCCCATAGCGAATTATTATGTTTTGTATGGTTTTGGCTGTTCTGCTACCATCTTGTGTCTGACTGACCTGGCACATGACAGGAGAAAGAGCTTGAACATGTGATTATGGAAACTATAAAAGGAAAACACTTATGGGAAACAGCAAAGTCCACCAGGACCTCAGCCTGTCTTGGCTTCAGCCTTATGGTGCAGAATCTGAGAGTTTAGAATCTTCCTCTTAAACTCTTTCCTTGTTTATTTCACTGAATGCGTGAGAAACCCTAATCTCTGCTCTCCAGAGCATGAAACATGATTGTAGGGAGGGAGGTGTTGCTGCATGAATATGTTCATTTTTAGACATAATTTGCTATAACTTTTGCAGTAAAACAAAACAGCTGTAGCTGAAGTTCACCCAAAATTCCCAGTCAATCTTTTCCAGCTACCCTTCTGCAGGCATGGCGTGCTACAAAGCGTGTTGAGGCGCGGGCAAGTGCACGCAGGGTTGTAAGTGGGGAATGAGGCTGACAGCCAAGCCTTTCAGACTCTCAGACTTGGTATAAAGCTGCAAGACAAAGGAAGCGGAGCTCTTGTACCATGTGAGGGATGGAGAAACTGGAATTAGCCTAACGCTGCTCTGGCGTTTTCCCAGAGGCATGTGAAGGCCAGACTGAGTTTGGGTGGGTTTTGGGGGAGTGACCCTGCAGTGGCCAAAACAGAATTATTCTCTTCCTCTTGAGGCAATTCTCCAATAAGCTGCGAGAAGCGTGTTGGCCTGTACTCACACCTTAATTTAGGGATTTATGCTAACATAATTCTGATGGCCTGTAAACTGATGCAATTTTCTGAGTAATCGTAGAAATCTCATCCCTTACCTGAAGGAAGAGCTGCTTGGGGCTCTCTTGTGCTTCAGTAGCTGAAATGTGGGGTTGTCTCGAGATAATCTGGTGTCCCTTATGGCAGTGGGTAAAGAAACGCAGGGAAATACAAGTCTCTGCAGTCTTCTTGAAGGATGATGGAACCAGCTCGGGGGGGATGGGGGGTGGTCAGATTTGCCTGGGGAAGTGATTTGCTTGTCAGAGACTAGCTCAGATTTGCAGAGACCTCTATTGCTGGCATGGAACAGACTTGGACTCCTACTTGGGGACAACTGACAGCCCCTTGTCTATGACGAGCAGTCAACAGCAGTATGCAGTCTTCCCTCTCCTAGGCCCTTTCATATGGAGAACAATGTGCAACACACTGGTAGCAATTGTAGTCACCGCTGAAACTAAAAATTACAGTACAAAAATATCACCTTGGTGTCTTCTAGTAAGACATTGAACTGTTGGTTTTCTGCTGCATGTCCTCACCCAGTGAGAGCCACTCATTGGGCTGCTATCTCTTATGCTGACCAGTGTTGTCTTGTTCCCTTCTGCTCATGCTCTTCCTGTTCATCTTCTGTCCTCTCCGTCTTTTTCCCCATCCCAAAGAGCAGACAGTCCCTCTGCATCCAGATGTTGTATAGCTCCTTGCACAATGGGGCTCTGTTTCCAGATGGGGGCTCCTAATGCTACACAGCATTGCTGTTAAAAATGGAGGGCCTGGTTGTAGATAGCCCTACGGCCATCAAGTTGGAGGGAGTGGGGAGTTCTGGTAAAGGGGACAGCTGTTGTGGTAATGAATCTTTTCCTTTTTGGAAGACTTTCACACCACCTGCCCTGGTGCTCAGGTCTGCCATGCTCCCTGGCTCAGCTCTGTGCTCTGAACTCGGCTCCCCCCACTCCTCCCAGCAGAGCCCTGCTGCCCCGGCTCAGGGATGCTCACCGTGCCTCGGCACAGGGACAGGTACCGATGTGGCAGCCCTTTTCTGTCGACAGAAGGTGACTGTAGCTGGTTGGCCACCAGAGGGGGACCGATAGTCAACTTGAGCTGGTCAGGTTTAAGAGTGGCCAACTTCAGCTCTCTGGAAACCCTGCAGGTTGGGTTGCTGCTGTCTGGGGGGCTGTGTTTTTGTTCAGCAGACCTCTTAGTCTAGCAAAAAGTTGGCTGGCAGGTTCTCTTGCTGTGCTTCTAACCCCCAAACTGGAGCATATGAGAAGAGAGCATCTGGGAAGCATCCCCTGGTTCGGCACATGTCCCTGTTGCACCGCTCCCCCTTGCCCTTTTCCATCAGGCATCACATTTAAAATGCATGAAAGGAAGATGGATTTACATATGTATGATTAACCTGCAGCACAGTCTCTCAGGAGACTTGGGACAAATAGCTTAGTAAGAATAACGTGCTTAATATGAACAAACAACAGCAGTAACACTAACCAGATTAGATGTATTCCCTCTGCCTTTGAGACACAGATTAGTCATCGGTTTGCCAGGGGAGAGGGAGTTTTAACACATGGACCAGAAAAGCAGAATTGAGCTTATGCACAGAGAGGGCTGATATTCTCTTTTTAGGGCTCATTGTAACTCAACGGACAGTTAACAGCAAGTATCACTGGCCTTTCCTGGGAGCCTGGGGGAGTGGAAGTTGACATGCGCTTGGATGAGTTGCAGTAGGTGACTGGAGGCAGTGCAGCAGCTCCGGGGACAGGAGGGGGAAAGGACCCTATTACCACCCTTGGTAACCCTTGGGGTGGTAACTGGCCTGAACCAGTCCCTGCACAGGCAGTGCCTGCCTTGGATGCTCTCTGCATGGGGCTGTTTTTGAGTAGAGCAGGCTTGGCCCAGCTGACCTTGCACTTCGCAGTTAGCAGTGTCAGAGGCCTGTTGGAAGTGGATTTGGAAGGTGCTCTGGGAATGTCTTTCTAGGAGTTGGCTCTACTGTGCCTCAGCCCTTCTGGTTCCTTCTCCTGAGCTGGGCTGAGCGGCAATTCAAGTGCCAAGCGACAGGGTTTCAGAGTAGCCGCATACCAAACACATTAGTGGGGTGTATTGCACTTGGTGCCGCCGTTCCGGCTCAAGCCTGAGGCTCTGACCTTGATGGATCTGCTCCCAGGAGCTGAGGGAAAGGCACCGGGTCAAACAGCAACAGCAGAGGGAGGAAGGTAAAGTGTCATGGGACTGGTGGTGTTTGATCCAAGAGGCATCTTTAGATTCTAGTGCAGAAATTCTTAAAGATCAGAAGGCATCTCTCTGGCTGCATTTCTCAGCAGGATCCCTGCTCCTCAAGTGCCCAGTTCAGTGCTGGAGGTTGAGGATTGCGTGAAGAGATAGTCTGTGGAGACGGATAGAGGACCAGCATCCAATACAAGGTTGT